TGCAAGCTGGTGCAGCCACTCTGGAAAATGGCATGGAGGTTCCTCAAAAAACTAAAAATAGAACTACCCCACAACCCAGCAATTGTACTACTAGGCATTTATCCAAGGGATACAGGTGTGCTGTTTCGAAGGGACACACGCACCCCCATGTTTATAGTAGCACTATCAACAATAGCCAAAGTACGGAAAGAACCCAAATGTCCATCGATGCATGAATGGATAAAGAAGAGGTGGCATATATATATGGATGTATATATGGACTAATGGAGTATTAGCTGGCAAACAAAAAGAATGAAATCTTGCCATTTGCAACTATGTGGATGGAACTGGAGTGTAATAAGCTAAGTGAAATTAGTCAGAGAAAGAAAAAAATCATATGACTTCACTTATATGAAGACTTTAAGAGACAAAACAGATGAACTTAAAGGAGGGAAACAAAAATAACATAAAAACAGGGAGGGGGACAAAACAGAAGAGACTCATAAATATGGAGAATAAACTGAGGGTTACTGGAGGGGTTGTGAGAGGGGGGATGGGCTAAATGGGTAAGGGGTACTAAGGAATCTACTTCTGAAATCATTGTTGCACTATATACTAACTAATTTGGATGTAAATTTAAAAAAATAGAAAATAAAATTTAAAAAATGGAAATATATTCAATAATTGGGAAGTACTTTTATTGATTCACTTACACATTTTTCTACTTTATAACTTCCACAACAAAATTATCAAACACCTCGGCTTTCACAAGGAGTATCAGCAAGACGTTACTTTACATGTAGTCAGTAAAAGACCATCAGATTTTTTTCCACATCTGCTGAGCATTCACAGTAATTTCTATTTTAGCAGCTTCCAATGATCTAACATGGAATAGAAGTCACTGCACATTTTTCTTCTGAAAAAATTATAAATATCCAAAATGTTGCTGATTCAGGAGAACTGCAGATGCCCTCAAACCTTCCTACATTTTTGCATATCCCTCACCCAACTCCTAGTCCAGACACTGCCCCCCACCCCACTCACTACCTTGATGCCCTGCAGTGAGTAACACCAGTCATTTCTTGTTCTTGTTGCTTTGTGGTCTATAGTAGGCACCCCAGGGGAGAAGCACTTATTTGTTCTATACTTGCCTTTTCTGTCCTTTTCTTGTGACAAAAGAGGAAGCAATATAAAAGAATATTAAAATAAAAAAATAGGGGTGCCTGGGTGGCTCAGTTGGTTAAGCATCTGACTTTGGCTCAGGTCATGATCTTGCAGTTCATGGGTTAGGTTCTAGCCCCACATCAGGTTCTGTGCTGACAGCTCAGAGTCTGGAGCCTGCTTTGGATTCTGTGTCTTCCTTGCCCTCTGCCCCTACTCTGCTCATGCTTTGTCTCTGTCTCTCAAAAATAAATAAACATTAAAAAATATATTTAAAAAAACTTTTTAACGTTTATTCATTTCTTGAGAGACAGAGAGAGACAGCACGAGCAGGAGAGGGGCCGAGAGGAAGACACAGAATCGGAAGAAGGCTCCAGCCTCTGAGCTGTCAGCACAGAGCCTGATGCAGGGCTCAAACTCACAAACTGCAAGATCATGACCCAAGCTGAAGTCAGACGCTTAACAAACTGAGCCACCCAGGCACCCAACATTTAAAATTTTTTTAAATAAAAAACAGGAGCAGCTGTGGTCATTCATGTTGGTAAAATGGAGCCATAGAGCTTTGTTGCAATGGCATTATTGCAATGAACTCAGAGAGTTTAAATTGAAATGATAGTTTTTCTAAAACTAGCTATGTGACTTTGGGGAAAATAATTCATTTTTCTGTGTTTCATGGAGAACATGACACAAAAATTGAGGAGAGTAAAATCCTTCTCTCACAGTATTGTTGTGAAAATTAAAAAGTTAACAGATAGATAGGGGCACCTGGGTGGTTCAGTTGGTTTAGTGACCAACTCTTGATCTTGGTTCAGGTCATGGTCTCCTGGTTTGTGAGATCAAGCCCTGTGTCAGGCTCCACACTGAGCATAGAGCCTGCGTGAGATTCTCTCTCCATCTCTTTCTCCCCTCCCCTGCATCAAAGTAAATAAACAAAATTTATTTAAAAAGTGAATAGAGGGGCGCCTGGGTGGCGCAGTCGGTTAAGCGTCCGACTTCAGCCAGGTCACCATCTCGCGGTCCGTGAGTTCGAGCCCCGCGTCGGGCTCTGGGCTGATGGCTCAGAGCCTGGAGCCTGCTTCCATTCTGTGTCTCCCCCTCTCTCTGCCCCTCTCCTGTTCATGCTCTGTCTCTCTCTGTCCCAAAAATAAATAAACGTTGAAAAAAAAATTAAAAAAAAAAGTTAATAGATACAAAGCATTCAGAGTAGTGTCTATATATAACAAGCATAATATAAATGTCAGCTATTTTTGCTGTGTTTTTTTCAGGTAGGAAAAAAAGGACAACCAGCATGAAGCTGATGTCCTACCTTCTATTATGATTTCAGTGTATTTCTTGTGATTTGGTCTTCAGGAAAACTAGTGACTCACTCAATTCACCTTGAGGTACTCACGTTCCCTTTTCAACGATTGCATTTTCTTAGAGCTACCCATCAGCCAATTGAGGCAATTATTATATGACCCCTTAGCTTTCTTTACATTTACAGTTTGACATCCCTAAAACCCACCTCTTATATTTTCATAGTAAATGGAGGATTATAATATTTATACCCTAAGGTTACAGCCCACAAATTTAACTCTAATAACACTGTATAAGCCAGGAACTGTCCAAATTACAGTCAACAAATAATAACCAAGAATGTTAATGCTAATAGAATTAGTTTGACAACCCCAAGAAAATATTTAAAAAATATAATTTATATGTCTAAACTCCATGAAGAAATATTCTAAGAAATACTTAAATTTTCATACACTGGGAAGCTAATCCATGTGAAATACGATAATGCCCAATTAGGCAGGATTTTTTAAAACTGGCCATTTAAAGTTCCAAAATTCTTTTCTCTTTAGATAAACCCAGGTGTTCAATTTGGTCAGCATTTCCATTGTTCTAGGAAGAGACCTGAAGGCTCCATATCTCCCAGGTTTTCCACAGGAATGCTAACTGGCAGTGACAAGTAATAGCAGCTGAAAAACAAGTCTCCCAATGGACTGTGAGAGTCTTCAGTTCCTTCTTCCCCTGGCACCTGCACAGAAGAATGGCCCCTTTGCACTACGTGAGTCTCTAGGTTCTTACATATTTGACTGATGACCTGAGAACAATCCATGATGTCCTACCAATCTGAGCAAATGGGGTACTAAGCAATTACAATGATTGAAGGAGATAAATGTTATCAGAAAGCCATAGAAGCCAAGAGAAGACAGGGGTCTGAGCAAAGCAGAGTGGTAAACAGTGTCCAGAGCTGCTGAGACTAAACATTGCTCAAGATGCTTTTTAATCATCTCTTGGATCTATGGTTTAGGTCATCCACCTTGTAAGCACAGTTTCCGGGGAAAGGTAAAGGTGGAATCAGATTTCCACGGATGGAAGAATGAATAGCAAGTGAGGATGTAAAGAGAGCAAAATAGGGCACTTGGATGGCTCAGTCGGTTAAGCATCCAACTCTTGATTTCGGCTCTGGTCATGATCTCACAGTTTGTGAGATCGATCCCTGCATCGGGCTATGTGTTGAAAGTGTGGAGCCTGTTTGGGATTCTCTCTCCCTCTCTCCCACTCACGTTCTCTGTCTCTCTCTCAAAATAAATTTTTTTTTAATAAAATTAAAATTTAAATTTTTTAAAAAGAGAGCAAAGTATATTACTTTCTCAAGAAGTTTGTTTGACGAAGGGAGGCCCAGTAGCTAAAGACCGACCTAGGGAAGAGGGGGAACAAGTTTATATGTTAAGAAGAAAAACAAATAGAGAGAAAGCTTGAAAATAAAAGGGATGGGCTAGAATTAGGGAGAGTTTTAGGAAGAAACTAATGGATGAGATTTACAATTCAGCAAAGGGACTGGCCAGAGAAAGAGGAGGGCTCCCCCCATCCTCTGGCAGAGTGGGGAGCAGTATATAAAGTTTTAAAAAGCTATTGAGAGGAAGGGGAAAGGGAGCCGGTCAGAGACAGGATGAGGTCTACTATGTAATGCTCGTTGTCCAGCTCACATTGTTCCAACACCAGTTTGCAAGAAAATGGGAGACGGCTAGCCTGGTCCAGAGTTGGGATCTTGTCAGGTGGAGTGGCAAGAAAACAGATTTCAAATTTTCCTAGCCAGTCACACAATTGTGTAATTCCTAGAAATCAATGTCTTTTCTGTATGTGTGTGTATGTATACATAGTTAGGAATAGATCTCCTAGTAGTTCTCTTTCTCTGGTAGGTCCCTGACTGATACAGACATTAGTAGCTTATCCAAGGGCACACTGCTGGTAGGTGGTAGAGCCACTCTCCTGACGTGGGCAGTCTGGGCCTTGAACCAATGTTCTTACCCGCCTCCCCACTCTGCCTCTCCTGTAATTTCCAGTCATTAGCGGTCTAATTAAATATTCAGGACTTGGTCCTGAGGGAAAAAAACAAAGAGAAAAAAAGACAAATCACACCTGAATGAAGAGGAACACAGTATAAATGAGTTCATTGAGTGTAGGGATATGCAGAATAGGAAGAATAGCATTAGACCCTAGAGGAGAGATTTTGGGTTATGCCAGGAAATGAAAATGAAGAATGTGTATTTGCTTAGAAGAGGAGAAGAGCATTCCGTGTGGAGTGTATGACACATGCAGAAACCCAAAGCAAGTCACGTAGAACATGGCTATGGCAAGCCTCCAAAATGAAAGTTAGTGAGCAAAGAACATGAAATCTGTATTACATATCAATTGCTGCATAACAAAGTGAGAGCTGGAATCAAGTGAAAACTCAGTCTCACACATGCCTGGCAATTATGCGGTGTCTTCACATTAGCTTTTTGAGCTTCTCCAAAACATGGTGGCCAGATCCCAAGGCCGAGTATTGAGAGGGAGAAAGAGAGACAGTCAGACAGACAGACAGAACTGACCTTCTTATGATGAAGCCTCAGAAGTCGGGTAATATCTCCTGTACTTCTTTACTCCTTTAATTCTATTTCCAATTTCAAGTGAAAAGCAACAGGGAAAGGCGAGGTGTGGAGAGCATGTGGAACATGAAATATTGCAATGTTAATTTTGGAAAATACAATATCCCACATGATAACTCATGGCAGATTAGTCCCAGTGTGAGCTGATCCATTATCTCTTTTAAATGCTTCCTGATAAAAACTTGGTGGGGGAGGGGGAAGGCTGTATCACTCTCCTGGTTGTTTACAGAACCTTCATTCAACATTCTTCAAAAAGCGGCCTAGCTTTTTTTTTTTTTTTTAATGCTTTTATTTATTTTTGAGACAGAGAGAGACAGAGCATGAGCAGGGGAGGGGCAGAGAGAGGGGGAGACACAGAATCCGAAGCAGAGTCCAGGCTCTGAACTGGCAGCACAGAGCCCGACGTGGGGCCCGAACTCACGGACCACGAGATCATGACCTGAGCTGAAGTCTGACGCTTAACCGACTGAGCCACCCAGGCGCCCCATTGGCCTAGCTTTTAAATCAAACCATTTAACTTCACACCTCGACCTCAGAGACCTGTAACACATAAGCACTTTCTGTTGATGTTCTGTGATATCACTAGTGAAGGGGAGAAAGCTCCGAGCTGAGCAAGTGAGCACAGCAGTATGGCCAACACCCAGCTCCTCTGTAGACAGGACTTGGAGCCAGGAGGAAGCAGGTAAGGTAGTTCCCATTTGACCTAGAAAATGACTTCCATTTATTGCAGAAGCATAAACAGAATCTGAACACATATGTTAATTATTTTTCCTATGGAGGGCACATGAGCCTGGGTTTTCCACTCTCATCACCTGGTACCATGATGGCATCATCACCTTCATACAAATGAGGCTTAAAGACACAACAGGCTTTTCAATCCAAGGATGCATGACTTTTTGCTCTGGTCTGAGGCTGTTGTCTTATGATTCACAAGGTTTCCTTAAATGCAGTTTCTTCACCTTACATGAATTGAATCCTGGCTAGCTGCGTCCCTCCATCCTGCATCTGTGTACTTGGTCTTAACTTTGTTTCCAGGACTTTCTGTCTGACTCTCCTAACTGAAGTCACTGACTTTTTCATGTATTTCCTGACAGCAATAAATGAAGTTTTCCCATCGATTTTTGGATTAAATTATTTTTTCAATACCCCCAACAAGCTGCATTGATTGAGTCAGGTTTTTTTTTTATTAATTATTTCTACCAACTACTTATGTCCTAATAATCTAATATTGAGAATATGGGAGTTTTTAGAGAACTGACAGAAAGAAACTGTTAGGAAGTTTCTGGAAACAAGATAGAAATCAAAGGAAATAAGTAAACGTACTGTGAAAACTATAAAACACCACTATTCAAATAATCACATACATATGTGCATGCAAACATATATATATATATATATATATATATATATACACACACACACACACACAAATGTATATATGAAACTTCTCTGTTTTTTGTAAACTTGTAAAAACATTTATTAAATACAATAAAACCTTGGATTGTGAGTAACTTGTTCTGTGAGTGTTCTGCAAGACGAGCAAACATTTCTAATAAATTTTAACTTGATAAATGAGCGATGTCTTAACAATACGAGTAGTAAGTGATGCCGAATGTCACATGATCACCACTGAACCAAAGGTTCTTGAAATTTGCTTTTGATATACAAGTGCTTTGGATTACAAGCATGTTTCTGGAACAATTATGCCCATAAACCAAGGTTTTACTGTACTTACTATGTAAGGGATGCAGTGATTGCAGGCACCTTCTGATAGTTGAAGTAGAGGAAGCCAGGAACACTAGGAGAGAGTAGTAGGAGCTAATTAGATAGGGTGGCAGGGAACAATTCATATAGAATTTTGCAGGATTTTAACTGCATTCTAAATTTAATGAGATGTCAGTGCAGGGTGGTAGAACAAATGGAGAGAGCTTGACTGGAGATCTGTATTCTAGATATTTCTAATACAATTGTACCTGATTTGTTATTATTTAAGTTTTCTCTGTATTTGTTCAGGACTCCCCAGGGTTTTTGAACACTTGTACTTGAGACTAGTTTTGAATATCTTTCCCTAAAAACTACACCAAAGGATGAACTTACTGACAGAAGACTGGTCTGGGGTGACCTGAAAACCCCATCCAGGCATATAATTGGATATATTATGCTTTGGGAACCTTCATATGTGGGGAGCAGGGCATGTAGCAAAAGTTCCAATCTAATCCCCTCGTAGGTATTGCCCACAACTGGTGAGTGGTGTCTTTCATGTCCTCAACTGGGAAACACATCTCTTACCACCTCCATTTCAGGGCTGGCATCTGTACAGAATCAAAAGCAAGAAAGACTTACATTTTAACAGTTGATTCAGCATGTAGATCTCTTACTCATCCTCCATTTTACTTACTTATCATTCTCTAATAATGAATTGTGTCAAATTCTTTGTTAGTCAAATTTTCCTAATTTGTTATTTTTCTATTTTTTAAACTTTGCCTTCACGGTTAAACACACACACACACACACACACACACACACACACACACACACACCAAAAAACAGTTGACTAGGAATGAAAGATTGTTCAAAATGCTCATAATATGTATTAGTATACATGTGTTTAAAAATGTGACAGGTAATTAGTTTTCCATAATGTAGGATTCTGGAAAGCTAGTTTACAATGAATAATGTATCTGGAAGAGCACAGCCATTAGTCTGAACCTCTAGGGCTTTTCAGTTTCAAAAGAGAAAATATATTCTGTATATAATTGCATGGCATTTTCAGTGGCTGCAGAAATACCAGTAACTAAGTACCTTTGATTATAATATTAACAAAAATTTGGCAAGGTACTTAGCAATTTTTAGTAAATGCAATACATTCATAACTAGCAGGATATTATAAGTATTCCTAAACTGGTCTTTAAATATTAAAATGAACATCTTTCTAATCCTTCTTTGACTCTAATCTAGAAGTAGAAATTCAAATTTTGCTGAGAAGAGAAGATTCCCACACCAGCCTGAAGGATTAACATCATGCCAAATATACGAAGGAGTCTGTAGGGGAAGTTTAAGAGAGCTTCTCTCTGTGTCATATAACCAAAATGGAATGTTTCCTGAGGCGTCAAACTGTGATAAATTATCTGTTCCAGAATGCTTAAAAAAATAAAATTATGCACTGATTTTAGTTAATGATGTACTCCATTGTTCTTCCTCAGTTCTCTGGGGCGTATCTCATAACCTAGGGAAAGAAACAGGCATGAAGCAATTAATTACAATAGAGTCAGATACTTTCAGTAGTAGAAGAAACAAAGTAGAAACCAATCCTGATTTTCCTATTCTAGTTTCAGTCCTTTGACTGATGTGCAGGAGGTCACTGTATCCAAGATAGGGCTTCCTGAAACATAGTGAGATGTATAGTATGTGTAAGGCCATGGAGATGAATTGGTGTAAGTAGCCATGCTGGGTAGAGCCTATAGATATTTTTAGCTGGGTGGTATGCATATATACAGGTTATCTGGGGTTCATGAAGTTACCTCCCCAGTTTGTAGGCATTGGCTTCTGGTTTATAAAAGAGCAATTCTGTATTTACAAAGTGGCAATTCAGTCACATCTGGAGTTAGGATTCTGAGGACTATGTACAGACAGATCTTATTTAACAACCAAGATTTTTTAACTTCTGCCCATTGGATCACCTGCAGCTAGGCCAGGTACCCCCATGTTGGATAGAGAGTTTCCCATGGCTGCAACAAGAGGCCTGGTCACTGGCCCCTCCAAGTACTTTCTAACCTTGGCAATGAATTCAGAGGCCATCCCTTCTCTACATCCTGGGAACTGAGCTATATAGAGGTTAGGCATACATTTCTTCCTGTGTGTAAATCCTCTCACTTCTTAGCTCCTTTCTCTCTGATGACGGTGCTCTGTGTACTATATACTAACCACCTACAACCAGGGAGAGAGAAAGGGGCCAGCCTAACATGGCAAAAATCCTCAGGCTTCACATAACACATCTTCTGATCTGTGGTCTGGCACCTCTTATTAATTATCTGAAAGAACAGCTGAGTGGAGGGAGTCTTACTGTTTGCCCTAGAACCTTGAACCCTTGAAGAGTAGGTTGATCAGAGTTTTGGTTTTTGTTTATTTTTTAAATTGTTCAAAATAAGGCTCAAGGAAAAACTGGCTTGCTCAAGAACACGGAGAGTTGACAACAGTCATTTACTCAAGTATTCAAAAATTATTTATTGAGGGGCGCCTGGGTGTCTCAGTTGGTTAAGCGTCCAACTTTGGCTCAGGTCATGATCTGGTGGTTCGTGAGTTCAAGCCCTGCGTCGGGTTCTGGGCTGACAGCTCAGAGCCTGGAGCCTGCTTCAGATTCTGTGTCTCCCTTTCATTCTGCCCCTCTCCAGGTTGTGCTCTGTATCTCTCTCTCTCAAAAATAAATAAACATTAAAGAAAAAGAAATATTCAAAAACTATTCATTGAGTACCCACAACCCTATTTTTGAAACTTTAAGATGTATATTTCTTACACATTTTGAAATTTCTGAAATCAGGGTCGGTCTTAGAGTTGTTGTCTACTAGGCTTTGACTACCATAAGCACCAAAACTTGCACACTGAATGTCACCTTCTGGGAAGAAAATCTCAAAGACAATAATGAAGCGATCTTTCAAGAAATACTGCTTCACTGACACTCTTGATGGCACAGACAATGGTAAGGTGTGGGAAATACGGTATACTGGCAACGTGTCATTGAATATTAATACTGAAAACTTGCACTTCAAGTTGTTTCAAGAATAGCTTAACCAGGGTGCATGGGTGGCTCAGTTGGTTGAGTGACTGACTTCGGCTCAGGTCATGATCTCACAGTTTGTGGGTTCGAGCCCCACGTCGGGCTCTGTGCTGACAGCTCAGAGCCTGGAGCCTGCTTCGGATTCTGTGTCTCCTTCTCTCTCTGTTCCTCCCCGCTCATGCTCTGTCTCTCTCTGTCTCACAAATAAACATTAAAAAAAAAAAAAAAGAATAGCTTAACCGATTTATTTTGCTTATATTCTCATTTTTAGAGTGTGTACACTAATATATATGATAAATCTATGGTCTTTCTAAGTAAATCTAAAAGAGCTTCTCAGGAAATTAAAACAAAAAGTCTAAAATGACAAGACAGCATGTGCCATAGTTTAAATGGCAGCATTTTTAAATTCTGACATACAGGAAGTGATGGTGTATCTTACAATTGATGTCATCTTAGATTCAATGACATATGGTATATTCCTGACTCTCTTCTAGATGCTGACTGTTCAGCCATAAAGAAAGACAGATAACACCTCCGAAGCTTAAATTCTAAGAGGATAATCAAAAGAAACAAGGAAAATCTCTAGTGAGTGGTAAGTGCTGGGTAGAAAATTAGGATTAGGTGATGTAAAAAGAGGGCCTGGGTGGCTTCTTTAGATGACCAAGTTTCTCACCTTGTGGTGGTGACTTTAGGCTAAAGAAGTAATAATACTAGATGGGCAGAAGAGTCAGGACCAGAAGAGTTTCCTAAATACCAGCATTCTTGCCAACATACCTGGGCTGGATGATGGCTTAATGATTGTGCCAAAGCCTATTTTAAAATTTCACTCTGGTGGCATTATTCTTATTTCAAAGTAAAGTGGACTTTAGAGCAAACCACTGCATCTGGTCATTTTAAATGGAAATATAACTATCTTAGATAGGTGGTATTTTAATGCAATTAAACACATCCAAGTTTCAATGCAATAAGTGATATTGGGAGAATAAAAGCAATTGTAAACAGGTTATTAGTAGTTTGAGACCTAAAATCTGAGGGGTAAAGTTGTACCTGTGTCCATCCCAATGAATATCAAAGAAAATTGGTCTCTAGTTGGGACATTAAGTGGCAGTCCCTTAGGTTCATGCCTCTGCAACATGATGAGAATAAATCTTAAAGGTTTCTCTGGAAAATGCCCAAGGGGACAAATAGCAATCAACCTGCTGAACCCAGCTGCTACCCACCTCCTTCTACCCATTATGAACTGATGCTTTAGCTTCTATTTCCACCATTATAACCACTTTGGTAAATGAGGTGTTTGTGCCAAAGTGTGGAAGAAAGCCTTACAGACCAATAAGCATTTCTAATATCTATGTTGGGAACCAATAACAGCTGAGTATTTTATTTCAAAGTGGAGGATTAGGAAACTGATCAATTTAAATTCTGAGGAGGCCCATCAAACATAACTGAGTGTGACCAGGCAAAAACAGAAATAATTTCTCCTCAATTTCAGGGGGTGACAAAGAGATAGGGATGATAATCTACAGATAACCAGTTTCTCTAAGTAGCTGACCAAACACCACCAAGGCAGACAAGAATAATTTAACTAGATGACTCTTCTATTAAAACATATGTGTGTGTGTGTTTGTGTCTTTGTAGGATATGGAAGAGTTAACTCCATCCTTATGCCAAAACAAATCCATCTTGTTCCCTCAACCTCATCTCTAATAGCTTCTTTGAAAATCTTATCTGTGAGGATAAAATGCGTGGTGTGACTGATAGCAATGCAAAGGGGAAAAAAAATGTTTCTAACCATTATGGATTCTGGGTCATTATTCATTCTAAACTACAGATGTAATCAATTTGCTAAAATAATCTCATATAAATAATTTCCTGTCAAGAAAACATTACTGCAAAGGATACCAAGTTTTCCAATTAAGCATTTATACTTAAAGTTATTTCAAAAACCATCATAATGAAAGCACTATATTGATATACTAGAGGATAATCTTTAATTATACAATGTCTATTTTTGCTGGGGCAGTATACTTTTTATGAATTGATCTACTTAAATTCCACAGTTGAGAATTACGTCTGTGAAACATATATAATTCTATTCTATAGCAATGAAAAATAAACCAACCTTATCAACAATTCTAAATCATAATAATAAATAATCAATTACTAAGAAGCTGTACAATTTCACCATACATAATTTGCAAATTCATTATTTTTTTTTAAGACTGACAAGGATGTTGTGAATTAGGGTGAAGACTATTATTCCAATTTTCAAGTGAGATTATTATGTTAAATGGCTTTCCAAAGCCTAATTGTAATAAGTAGAAGATCTGGCATTTAAGGCCAGTTTTTCTGACCCCTAATCCAGGATTATTTTCACTATTCTATTTTCCTAATGTCTGCAAAATTCATTCATTCATCCAGAGGTTCTAGTTCTCTGCTAGGAACTGTGGTACAATTCTGAGGAAAAAAACAATATCATGAACCTAAAATTCTATAATCAGCTAAATTAAATTGAAAGTGAAGGTGGATTAAAAACAATTTTAGATACAAATTTTTATCGAAAGATAAAAATCGGAATAAACTAACTTCTAAAAAACATACTTGAGATGCAAGGAAAATGAACCCAGAAGAAAGGAATGATATGCAAAAAGTAGTAAGTAGACATCATAAAAGCACATTGGTAATCTCAGTAAATATTTATAATAGTCAAACAACCATAATGTGTACATTTTAAAATGTTAGAATTAAAAATCATAGACAACAACATTAAGTCCCGGCTTATTTGGGAGAAGGACAGAAAGGAGGCTCTAAGTTTAGACTTGTTGGAGAAATAAAAATGTTAACTATATATGGGCGCTAGGCTGAGTAATGGCCCCCAGAGACAGCCATGTCCGAATCTCCAGAGCCTGTGAATATTATTTTATATGACAAAGGGACGTTGCAGCTGGGATTAAGGATCCTGAGACGGGACAACACTGGAATGTTCAGGTGGGTCTTAAACGTAATCATAAGTGTCCACATAAGAAATGTGATGAGAGCAGAGACAGAGTCAGTGTAATGACCAAAGCAAGACGCTAAACATCTGCCTTTGAAGATGGAAGTCTCGGAGGTGGAAAAGAAAAGGAAGAGATCCATGCCCGAGAGCACCTGGAAGAAGCATGACCCTGCTGTCACCCAGGATACTGCTATCAGACTTCTGGCCTCTAGAACGGTACAAGAATAAATGTGTGTTGTTTGAAACCCCCTAATTTGTGGTAATTGTTACAACAGCCATAGGAAAGATATACTAAAAATGTGGGCATAATAACTAAGAGAACAGATGTGGAATATACTATTTATTTTCTAAGAATACCTATGCCTCCACTTGTGTTTCTAGGTGTGATTTTTATTAAAATAGTATTCCTGGGCACTCGGGCCACTCCTTCTCACTCTTGTCTGGGAGAGTCAAAATTACTTCTCTGAATGATAGTTTAGGAAAGGCAACTTGTTGGTTTGCAAACCGGCCCCTGTACACTGAGGGCAAGGAGAGACTGAAGAAAGAGCCAGCCTACTCCAGACCGGCAGGTAACAGTCTTAATAAGCAAGGAAACCTGCATAGGAGGCTTGCCATAAGACAAGAAAGTTTCCATACCTGCCCGCCGGACTCTTAGAAGTTCAAATGGAAGATTTAACTGGTTTCAGTCATGTATACTGCCCAGATGGTCTCAACAACCCCTTACTCTCATAAGGCTATGTCCTTGGAACAGCTCCCCTTGGGAATGGTGGGCAGAACATACATTCCAAGGACAGGGAGAGAGTGAGGAGCCTCTAACTGCCCAGATCCAGCTCGTGAGTCAACAGTGGTCATATCCTCTCGATGACCTCCTCCAACATAACTGAATGCTTAGCTCAGCCCCTTCTAATCTTCTTCCTCCCTTGGGATCTGCTTATCAGGAGAGAACATACATTCTGTTCTGCTCAACTTTGTCCCTGAGGAAGGAGTTCTGTGGTTACTCAGCACTACTAGGGACCAGGTAATTCTGCCTAATTCAGAGACAACAGACTTAGAGTCACATTCTCCAAAACCTTTGTTAGTAATACAGGTGGTATTTGACCTCTGTCTGCCTTACTCTCTTGTCTATCTCTCAGTTGCTTCAGAACACACAGGAGGAAAAAGCAAGATATTACTTATTAGCTTTTTGAAATCTGAATTTTCAAACAGATAACAAAAGAACAAAGTGGAAGGACTTGATAATTCAACGGAAACACAGAAAGAGACAACAAAAAGAAGCAAAGGAATGGTGGACCACACATAAGAAGACACAATCAGAACAAAAATCCACAGAGCATTTAAATATATATGAGTTGGGGCAAAAAGCATACCAGCCAAAAAGCAACCCAAAGAAAAGTGCTACATCAATGTTCATATTGCTCAAAATATAAATGTGATGTTTACAGGGAATACATTTCGCATGAATACAAGATACACTTACATTGGTAAAAGATGTAAAGCACAAAGATGATAAGAAATCATAAAATTACATACACCTG